CTTGCCTTGCATGCCTGAGGCCCTGGGTTCGATTCCTCAGCACCACATAAGCAAAAAGAAAAAAGCCGGAAGTGGCGCTGTGGCTCAAGTGGTAGAGCGCTAGCCTTGAGCTGAAGAGCTGAGGGACAGCGCCCAGGCCTAGAGTTCAGACCCCACAACCGGACCCCCCCCCCCAAAAAAGAATCAGACTGTAGTTATTGAATTTATAAGAAAGACAATTTGGAGCATAATATAAATGTTTGCACTTAAACAATCAAAGTCTGTGGGGTCTTGAAAATTCTAGTGAAATACATGAAGTAAGCCAATTAAAAGTATTTAAAATCTCTTGACATATAAACTATTAGGGATACTGTAGAATGATTTAGTAGTGTTCAATTTTATATTAATCATACAAAAAATAGTCAAAGTGAATGCTAACATAAGTATATTGCTGAGATGTGTTGTAATATATCACTTATACAGAAATATCCATTTAAAATTCATAATGTAAAATATAATATAATCCAAGACTTTTGTGTTTCTAGTTATGGTGTGTTCTGACCTTAGAAACATAAGTTGCTAAAAGAGCTAAGCTTTCAGAATATGAATTTTGCTTTAAAATGTGGAGTCCTTAGTGGATAAGTCCAAGCATAAGCATTTTACAAATATATTAAAATTTCTTTTTTTTACTCATTAGCTTACTATGTATTGAAGAATGATATGCATGTAAATTAATCACATACTGAAAATGCAACCTTTATTTCCTATCTACCAACAGAAAACACAGTAACAAAGCACTTATTCTTGAATTTGAATTCAATTTTCGAAAAATCCTGTGGGTTATCTGCTAACACATTTAAGAATTACCTAGCAAAATATTTGTGTAAAACATTTTAGTTTTAATTACAAGGGTAATTAAAACTAAAATTAGTTTTTATGTACAAGGGTATGTATTCAAACTGACACAAAATCCTACTCACATTTTGTGACAATGAATCAACATATTAAAAATAAAAGGGCTGGGAAGGTGGCTCAGTGGTAGAGCGCATGCCTTGCATGCATGAGGCCCTGGGTTTGATTCCTTAGCACCACATAAACAGAAAAAGCCAGAAGTGGCACTGTGGCTCAAGTGGTAGAGTACTACCCTTGAGCTGAAGAACTCAGGGACAGCGCCCAGGCCCAGAGTTCAAGCCCCAAGACTGACAGAAAAAAAATGAAAGTAGGTATTGGCAGTGACATATAAAAATTTTAAACAAAATGAGCTAAATTATGTTATTAACTTACAGCCAGCCATCACTTAACGTAAAGCCAGGCACTGCTAATTAGTTTTGTTTTGTTTTGTTTTGTACCAGTACTGGGACTTGAAATTAGAGCCTAGGTACTCTCCTTAAGCTTTCTCACTCAAGACTGGCACTCTACCACCTAAGCCACAGCTGCAATTCTGGCTTTTTGCTGCTTAATTAGAAATAAGAGTCTCATGGACTCTCCTGCGTGTGCTGTCATTGAACCACAATCCTCAGATCTCAGCCTTCTGAGTAGGATTACGGTTGTGAGCCAACAATGCCAGACTTTCCTGGTATTATCTGAGCACCATTTCTTTCCAAACAATTCATCACCTCAACCAGTCATGATGATCAAAACCTATCATGGTATGTTTTCTTAAGTAACATGAAAGAAGTATCATGTTTCTTCTTACTACTGTGCAGTGCTGTGCAGCTGAAAAATATACTTAACAATTTGACATGTAAAACATTGTGCTCAAATCTGCTTTGTTAAATGGCAACTCCTTTCTGCAACTATTTAAAGATAACAAAAAATAAATTAAAACATTTTAAATAAGTTAAATAATATATAATTTATTTACAGTATATTTCCTTCAAGATTAGTTTATAAAATTTGTCTTTGTATGTAGTTTATAAAATTTGTCTTTTGGTCTTTCTATGCATGACACAAACATTCCAGCATTTATGAGCTCAACCTAAATACATATATTAATGAAAAGGGCAATTAACTCTGAAAAACTTATATGTCTGGAGTATGCCTTAGAGCAAGTAAGCATTCTACATGATGATCACTTTGTCTTTTAAAAATGAAAGATATAAAATTTTATATCATGGGGGGAAGAAAATGTATGTATACTACACTATACCCTAAAATATATTGAGCCTCTATTTTTACTTTATGGCAACTACTAAGTGGCCCTTTATCAATATCTTTACATCTATCTCCTGTTTCACAGATCATTTAACAAAAATTCTGTAAGAGAATAAGTAACTATATATATATGTATATATATATTTCAAGTGGTTATCTCATTGTCTCTGACTATACCACATCTACTGTCAAACTTTACTAACATTTACCATTTTTATTTTCAGACTTACACCCTGCAAGCTTCAACTCTAATGCAGGTATCCTGAGATACCTACAGGTATGGAACTGGAATGTTCTATATAAGATAATGCAGTGTTTTAATGAATAGTTCTTCAGGTAATGAGTTTAATAATATTTGATAGTATTTTCAGAGTTAAGATCGAATGAAAGCACAGCATTTGCTAGGGCATGAATGCAGAGCCTGACATGAGACACTGGGCACTAGCAGATCCATTATTTCTCACAGCACTAAGACTAGGAATTATGATTTTACTCTAAGGAAGAATTGTGTAAAGGCACTAGAAGTAAGTTGTCCAAGTCATAAGCTCAAAAGAAGTGGACCCAGAAGTCAAATGCAAGCTCTCTGGGAAGACAGCACATGTTCTTCCCCTCCTAGAAGTAGCTCTCCTCCATAAGGAGTAGTCGCTTTTCCATTAAACAGTAACAAAGGGGTTTTTAGAAGCCAACGAAGAAGAGTTTCTGGTAAGTATCTTTGCTGTTCCTGTCATTCACATCTCCAAGATTCTCATAGATGGCATATGTCAATAAACCATCTCTTTAGAAATTAGATGCATTGTATTCATAAACTTCTTTGTTTAATGGCAGTTCCTTTTGTACAACTACTAAAAGATGATTATCTTTTAATTATTGTCTTACAATAAAATAATAAAAGAAAGTAAGAGTCACAGACTACACACAGTAATAATCTATGCTTTCAAGTCAAGAGTATTTTAAAAAATGATGTCAAAATGTCTGTAATACATATCTGGCTGACTGGTATAGATACTTTGCTAGAGAAGCAGTTTTCTAGGATATTCAGTGCCCTAGGTTTGATTCCTAACACTGAAAAAAAGAAAGAAAATGTCAAGTACATTTCTGCAAACATACACATACACACATACACGTTTCAAAACAAAAAAAAAGCAAGCTCAGTTTCTATGTGTAAAAATTAGAGCAAGTGACAATAGAGTGGATTTCAAAAACATTGATTCCCTGTTCCAGTTATTCCAACTCAACATAAACTAACATCAGTTTGGTTTCACCCATCTTCAAAAGCTTAAGTGAATGGAGAAGTTCACAGTACACCTACAAACACAGAAAGCAGCAAAGCCTTAGTTTTCACATCATCATTTTCCTTCCCTAATAGTCATCATCGGGGCTTACTATTGTGAACCGTTGGATCCATCCATTTCCTTTGGTTCCAGAGACAGCCATTCTCACAAGCCATCTATAGCAAGGGCAGCTGCTTCCTGTCAAGACTTGAACAACCTCACACCCACTTCAGTAATGAGGGGGAAAAAAAAAACAAACATCAACAGGATGTGGCTTTGCCTTGGCTTTACTTGTATCATCCTCATTTTGTTCCATGACATGATATCACACAGTTCTGTGAGTCCTGGTCTCCCAAGATCGTCCTTATTGTAAATAAACAAAGGGAAGCAATACTTCAGGAAGATGAAAAGGCGAAGGGGAAAAAACAAACGAGCAAACAAAAAAAAATCCCCTTGACCTGACATCATGGAAAAAATAAAAAATAAATTAAAAAAGACACTTAAGATGAAAAAAAAAAGAAATAGTGTCATGGTTTACATGTGGGGTTTGGATGGAATCTAGGGCTGTGTTGTGATTCAGAACTCACCATCTCAAAACCACTTCTTTTCATCCGCCTGCAGGACTTGAGGTAAGTACGTATACGTTTTCTGGCACGCTCTTGGTACTCAGGGAATTGTCGCCTGCATGAGTCAATGATAGCTTGGATCTTTTCTTTGGGCTGCTTAGAGATTGGGACCATTCGGTCCAAGTTTTCATCTACAAACAGCCTGACAAACATCTGTTGGCAAGAGGGAGACAGAGAAGGGTTTGGAGGGCTGCTCTCTTCTGTTCCTAGCTTCCTGTCTTGATTACCGATAGGAAAATATTCTTTTCTGGTATATGCACTGGAGAAGTTCGCAATGGAAAGCCAGAAAGTTTAAACAAACACTCTTTAAAGAATATTTTTTTCTAAATGGTTGGTTTTCTTAAAAAAATAGAGAGAAGAAAAAGAGAAAGAGAGAGGCAGACAGACAGACAAGACAGACAGAATAGACTATCGTGTAGAAAAAAAAGTCAGAAAATAACAATACACTTTGACAACTGAGCACCCCATTAACGCTCTATTAATGGTCAATATGATCGTTCTACATTGCTACCCTGCCCTGACAACGAACACTTGATTCTCTTGTCATGCACAATTAGAAAAGCTAGGAAAGCAAAAGGAAATAACTGATGACAGGCAGGCGATCTTCTCCGGATCTCATCTGGAGAAAAAGCTGCGGCCCGCTTCGTCCTCTAGGTAAACATGCATACATACTCACACAACACAGTTCCCGTGTTCAGCTCACATATTTGGCTTTAACATTTCTAAACAAAACACAGCAATTCTGGTGTCTGCTTGGCAATGAGTGTTTCATGTACTTTTTAAATCCTTCTGTGAATTAAACAAACATGTCTCTAAAAAATATCCACATTGACCAACAAGCAACAACATGAAAGTCTCGTGGCACAAAGGAAAGCCACACGGGGTGGGGGGGGGGGGGGGGAAGGAGGGCTGGCAGGACTCACATTAAAAGCTTTCAGCCGCTCCGCTTCCACACCATCTGTCTCGTTCACTTTCTCAGAATCATCGTGGTCATCGTGGTCATCTTCGTCCTCATCCCCCCTGGTGAGTGACAGGTCCTCTGCACCTCTGTCAACACTCTCGTTTTTGCCAGAGTCATAGCTCGAGTAACTGTGTGCAGGAGACTGAAAAGAAGGGATGAAATTGCTGCTTTGAAGTGCATTGCCCAAGCTCACAAACTTTATGCTTTATTTGTAATTCCAACTGTTTCTTTAAAAAAAAATGGGTTGGATGATAACTCGCAAGCTGTGGCTGTTCTACTTTAAATCAAGATCAATGGAAATGAAATTAAAACTTCAGCTACATTGACCACATTTGGAGGGCTCAATAGACATTTTGGAACATTTCTACCACTGGAGAAAGTTTTATTGAACTTAAGCTGTCCAAGAGCAGGTACTGTTTCAGTCAGTATTTATATTGGAAAAAGGAAACTGTAGCTAATTTTACAAGAAAATTATTGAATTAATCTTAAAATAAATGATGTGCCCTCATTGAATAGACAGTCTGACTTCATTAATATTCTTTAAACACACATGGAAAGTGCACTGTGGAAATACTGAATTAATCTGCCTGAAAAGACCTGATAAAAGATTTTAAAACATTTTATCAACTATTGATGTGCCTTGGATGGAATCTCATTTTGGTTTAGGACAAGGAAATCAGGTTTTTCCTTAATCAACTTTTTAGAGATTTTGTGTTCTAGCACTAACTAGTAAATAACTAATGTAAAATGAGAATTGTTAAATGAGTAGATGTGATACATAGCTCAAACTAAAGCACAGTACACATATGAAAATTTAAAATATTAAAAAGTTTAAGCAATTGAAGGCTTTTTTTAAAAGTCTACTATTGTGCACATATATCTGTAAGTAAAGAAGTCTAGCCAATAGTAAGCAAGATGATATTGACTGTCTTTTATTTGGGGATTCTACATGGCCCAAATATTTTCTCTTAGGACCTTCTGGCTAATTACAGGTTTCGTTTGAAAGAAGTAACCTGGAAGTGAAGGAAATCTAGGTGTTTGTTGTAATAAGGAGCTTAATTTAGCAAAGTATAGCCTAAAAACTATTTCACATAATCACATTGAGATAATCACATCATCAATTGATTATTAAAACATTTCGCAGACACTTCTGGTAATCTAGTAAGCCAAAATATACGTGAATTTAAAGAGGACATCATATACCTATTTTGATTTTTTTCATAAAGATATTCCTGGGAAAATAAATACCATAAAACAAATAATGACGAATTGTGGATATGCTAAGAAGAAAGCATGACATTGAAACAGTGTATATCTCCTCCCTTGTCTACCAATATTCACAGCCACCCAGTGAGGCAGAATCATGCTCTCATCTCTCCAGACTAAGATGCAGCTTCAGGAAAGATAAACTCTTTTCACTAGGTAATAACCAATATTTGCACCTAAGCTCCAGCTGGAGTGACCAGTGGTTGAATAGATTGCATTTTATAATTATGCATGCATGCAAGTTCATAAATGAAGAACACAAAATATGTGTTGGTTCACGCACATATAGATATAAAAACAAATCATTTTATAAGTGAATGTACATAAACCAACTACTCCACTCAAATGAACTAAGTAACTTACTTCAAGTTGTTTAGAAAAGTAACCTGAAAGTTACAAATCTTGTGTAAAAAGTGCCCCCCACTTACTATAAAAATATCTGTATATAATGTAATATATTTAAATAATTTATTTTTTTCAGAGTTTAGACAGTGATGTACTATTACACTCATAGATAATCCATTCATATCTTCCTTCAAAATGTTATTAAGTGATACATTTAGTGTTGTATCAAACTACTTTTGCAAAAATGTTCATGCAATAGGTATTTAAAAGGCAACTATTATATGTCCAGCACTGTTCTAAACCTCTAACATATACAACTCTTTTCAATTGTATTAAACTGGTTATGTCAATTTCCCCCAATGTCACAGTGCTAGCAAATTAACTCAGGACTGGAATTTGTGAAGATTGGCTCTAAACATGTTACCCCATTCTCCTCCTCCTTTTCTTCTTCTTCTTCTTTTTTTTTTCCCCCAGTTCTGGGGCTTGAACTGTTCTGGGGTCTGGGCACTGTCCCTGAGCTTCTTTTGCTCAAGGCTAGCATTCTACCACTTGAGCCACGATGCCACTTCCAGCTTTTTTCTCTGTATATGGGTACTGAAGAATAGAACCCTGGGCTTCATGCATGCTAGGCAAGCACTCTTCCACTAAGCCACATTCCCAGTCCCATTCTCTTCATTTTCTGTGTAAAGATTACTTATGGAGATGTCGCTACATTTTCAATAAGAATCCCTATGACATGTATGCCAATTGTTCTTATGCCAATCTTTAAATAAAAAATCTTTAAGCTGGAGGTTTGACTCAGATATTAGAGCCCTTGCCTAAAGTAGAACTTCTGTAAAAGGTAAACTTACTTCATTAGTTAACATCTATGAAATTGATTCTCAGTTAGGAGTCAATGTGTATTGACCAAATTTACTAAATTATATGTATTACAGATTGGAGACTACATAAAAATGTTTCATATTCATGTAGATTCATGAAGATTTAACAACGACATAACTGAACCTTGCTGCAGAACTAGTATTAATACATCAATGTATCTATAAGTGTTTTAAAAAGTATGGACAATAAAGATAATAAATGATATTAATATACCAGATGCTTAATTTTGTCTGTCAATCAGATTGATATGTGATTAAACACTATTTTTAGATATGTCTGTGAAGAGGTTTATGGGAGATATAATCATTTGAACTGGTAGATTCAGTGAAGCAGATTTACCCTCTTCAATATAAGTGGGCATCACTGAATACTATGAGGGCAGGAACAGAAAATGGGAGGAAGGGAGAGGAAGGGAGCATTTGCCTATATAAACTCAAAAGCAGTCTGATGAATGCTTCAGTGGAGACTTATTGAGACTTATACCACCCCATCCCCAGCTTGCCTAGTTCTCTGACCTTCAGACTGAATTCCATCACTGGCTGTCTTGGGTGTCTAGCTTATTTCAAATTGAAAAATGTGAGGTTTCTCAGTGCCCCATAATTATGTCTCTGTGACTGTGTCCGTATCTGTGTTTGTATCTGTCTGACTGTCTGTCTGTCTGTCTGTCTCTGTCTGTCTCTGTCTGTCTGTCTGTTTCTCTCTCTTTCTCTCTCCCCTATTCTCTTCTATTACTGTTGCTGTTCCTCTGGAGAACCCTGACCAATACAATGTATTACCCACATTATTAATGGTTTAATTAAGGCTCAGCAAACTTAATTCACTAAGCTGACACTGAGCAAAATAGTTAAAATTCTGTTAATTAGAAGCTGCTCATTCACCACTGCTAAGATAGAACCACACAAAATTGTCTAGGGCTGGGGATTAGGAGGAAGAATGACAATATTGGGTCTCAGAATCAGAGGGAACTGCAAGCATAGAAAGATAAATTAGGAAACAATGAATGCCAGGCAAGGTACTTTTACAAAAATAGAAACTGATGTCCAACACCAACTCCAGGCCTCATTGGAGTATCTCCTTATGCCTTTCAGGAAGAGCCTCTGGTCTACCTAATGGAAGTGCCAACCCTGTCGATACCTACCCTACCTTTGCAAAGCCTATGTGTTTGAACTTTGGCTCTAGGCGAAGAGAACTTTTCTGAAACTGAAACCAAGCTGAATCCAGCATATTTACATACTGCAGGATGAATTCTGATCACATTTGCACATCACAGTCTCTCTGTTCTTCCAATGAAACCTTCAACCCTTCATTTTTATGAAACTGTACCTCCTCTTCACTACTCCATCCCTGTTTCATTTCTTCATTTAAATCTAAGTATCAATTTTTGGCTGAGTAGGGAATGGTACAGAAATCAACCACACAAGGTCAGATTAACAGTATAGATATCACATGTGATCATTTAAATATATGCATGGCCCAAGCTGTGTGAGGTCTGGGTTCAAACTCCAGAACTGTCAAAATACAGCACACACACACGCACGCGCACACACACACACACACACACACACACACACACACATTAGCCTATAGACAATTAGAGAGATTCAGTAAGATTGAAAAGTCTACTTTAAGAGAATATTAAGTACAGTTTCAGATTACAGGCTGAAATATTTTAAAATATTTAAGTTTTAATACATTTATCTAAATGGAAATACATGTTAATTCATGTGCAATACACAAACTAGCTGCTTGCTGTACACAGCACTTGGAATGAAGCAGTATTTATAGCCCAAGTCATTCAAAGCAAAAAACAAAAAAACAAAATAAAAACAAATTATGATGATCTAAGTTTAAAGCATAACAAACTTTTTAGCAACAAAAACCAGAAATTAGGTACCTGAATTCTGCTTTTCAGCTGGAATGTCTCTTGTCTATGTTACATTTTAAGGCCAACCATTATAAATTTACTGTGTCTAATAATGATAAAATTTAATGTCAATTCTACTTCCACCTTTCTCTAAACTGAGAATTCTCAGTGTAGTTGTTTTATGTAATGATCTGTATTTCTTTCAAAGTAGGCAGAGATATATGGATATACTCTCCCATCCATCTGCTGTTTAACAACATCAGAGACATGGTCCCTGCATAGAGACATGTATCCTGCATTCCAAGCTGTTTGCTGAAAGTGTCTCCTCTTCTGTAAATCCTGGTACTGGGGTTTGAACTAAGTAGTCTTGCACTGCATCCGCTTTTGTTTGGCCTTCTACCACTTGAGCCACACCTCCAAATCCAACTTTTTGCTGGTTAATTGGAGATGAGAGTGTGATAGACATTTTTGCCTGGGCTTGCTTTGAACTGTAGTATTACAGGTCTCAGTCTGCTTAGTTAATATAGGCTACTGATGCCTGGTAAGAGAAGGATTTACTTGAAAACACTAGATATACACATTACTTTAAAAAAAAACACAAAAATCTCACTACATTAAAATTGTAAAGTTTATGGATGCCAAAGGTAGTAGAAAATACATGAAAATATAACATTTCAAAATTGCAGTAATTCTTTGGCCCATCTCTGCAGTATATTTCTTTTTCCTATTTCTAGGCTGAATACTCTAGATTACTTGCCCATGTGACAATGATTATGAATTCTATT